CTCCCACATTATTTAACATCTATTTTGACCACGTAGTTCATGAAGCCTTCAATAGCTGTACCGGGGGAATCTCTATTTGGTACAGATATAATGGGAGGCTGATCGAAGCCCAGGTGCGGTCAAGGTATCGCTCCCTATAGCTGCTCATTCAGAGGAGGAGTTGGAGACGCTGCTGCTGAGACTGGAGCGTGCCACTAAGAGGTGGGGCCTTACCATCAGCCCCACCAAAACTAAGCACCTGCCTGGATATTTTGTACCATCGGACACTACACCCCCACAACTCCCAATCAGTGATGGGGCAGTTGTGGAGCAAGTGGAGAGTTTCCCATACCTGGGCAGTGTGCTTATGACCAGCTCCAGTTTAACAGCAGAGGTCTCACTCTGAATCAGTCGAGCGGCAATATATTTTCATCGGTTGCGTAACGCTGTGTGGAAGCTACCTGGTCTGTCGCTCCGCACTAAGCTTAAGGTCTTCTCGGCCACAGTCATTCCCTCCCTTCTCTACGCTTGCGAAACGTAGACCCCCCTAATGGAACATCTTCGCCGGTTAGAAACATTTAGGCTGGCCTGCCTACGATCCATCCTGGGTGTAACCAGACTGGATTGTGTGAGGAGCTCACAAATCCTTGAAAGATCTGGGCAAGGTCCCATCGGTGAGCTCCCCTGGCAGGCAAGGCTACGATGGCTGGGTCATGTAGCCCACATGCCCAGCCACCGCATGCCGAAACAGCTTTTGTTCGGCCGGATTGAGGGGGCTAAACGGGCGCGGCACGGGCTAGAGAAGAGATGGAGTGATGTGGTACAGGAGGACGTGGAGCTGAGTGGACTTGCCGATGACTGGTACCAGCGGTGTCAAGATCGGCCTCTGTGGAGGAGGCTCGTGAAGGACGCTACTGGGCAGTTGGAGGCAGTCGCCCTCCAACAACAACGGAGGGTGGAGGAGCGACGCTCAGAACAACGAGCGGAGCGCCGGGTGGCTAAAGCACAGCGGGTTGGCACAGTAGGGGGCACAGGTGGTGCATCAGCCAGTCATCTCAGTCAGTCGACCCGTGGCACCTGGGTCTGCCCCGTCACCTCCTGCCAGCGGGCGTTCGACACTTCACGTGGCCTCAAGGTGCACATAGCCTGACACAAGCGTCGTGGTGATGTCACCGCTACTTAGCGGCGAATGGCGGTTGTTGTTGTTGTGACTGTGTGTGTGGAAGCGTAACGCATTGTAGCGTAGCGGGTAGCGCGCTGTCTGTGTGTGTGTGTCTGTGTGTATGTGTGTGTCTGTGTGTATGTGTGTGCATCTCTCTGTGTGTGTCTGTGTGTGTGTCTGTGTGTGTGTATCTGCGTGTGTTGTATCTGTGTGTGTGTATGTGTGTGTGTATCTGCGTGTGTGTGTGCATCTGTGTGTGTGTGTATGTGTGTAGTGTAGCTGTTACCGCTACGCCACGCTACGAACCCGGCGACCCGAGTTCGTTTCTCGCTCACGGCCACCACCAGTGACGATTATTTGAACCGGTCCTGGGCCTCCCCTAGGTCGACTCGGCCTCAAACGAGCAACTGGTGTGGTTGTGTGAACATCGCCACTGGGGAGACAAAGGCGGCCGGGCGTCGTGAATCCAAGTCCCGGGTGAAGCCGGGTAGTTAAAGCTAGTTGTTTATAAATCTCTACCGTCGGTAGATAAGACGATATCACTTTCACGGGAAGGCCAATAACGTGACGACGTTTCTCTCAATGAGAACGCCTTCTTTTCACGTCACTCACAACAGCCACACCGAGTGTAAATCATAAAGCACCGGTTGTGGTTGTCAATTGTTGTTTCTATTATTATTACACTCTTTTATTTAACTCAGTCTGTTCTTGTTGTTGTATCCTCAAATCTTGTAACTCAATGTTAACCCACTTCCCAATGTGGTATCGACTACAAACTTGGTATACTGATGTCACACTGATGACAACACTATATTCTATCATAAAAAATAAAATAAAAAATATTTTTAAACAATATGTTTTTCCACGTTATGTTTCGGCTTGGCCTCTAATTGTCCACGCTCAACTGACGTTGTTGGCTGTAAATCACCACGCGTCCCACTTACGTTGTGGCAAGCTTCATGGTCACTTCCTGGAGTCGTGGAGTTCTGCCACTACTAGTACGGTACATTTCATTAAAGCGTGTTTAAAAATAAAGGTTTTTTTATTGAAATATTACTAATTTAGATGTTGACGATGATGCTGGGTGGCTCCGTCTCGCCGCCGCTTACACCACCACCACCTTCAACGTGAGACAGTTGAAGTTGTTGTGAATTATTGTTGTTGTGAATTGTTGTTGATTGTTGTTGATTGTTGATGTTGACAATGATGCTGGGTGGCTCCGTCTCCCCGCCGCTTACACCACCACCACCACCACCTTCAACGTGAGACAGTTGAAGTTGTTGTGAATTGTTGTTGTTGTGAATTGTTGTTGATTGTTGTTGATTGTTGTTGATTGTTGTTGTTGTTGACAATGATGCTGGGTGTCTCCGTCTCGCCGCCGCTCACACCACCACCACCTTCAACGTGAGACAGTTGAAGTTGTTGTGAATTATTGTTGTTGTGAATTGTTGTTGATGTTGTTGATTGTTGTTGACAATGATGCTGGGTGGCTCCGTCTCGCCGCCGCTCACACCACCACCACCTTCAACGTGAGACAGTTGAAGTTGTTGTGAATTATTGTTGTTGTGAATTGTTGTTGATTGTTGTTGATGTTGACAATGATGCTGGGTGGCTCCGTCTCCCCGCCGCTTACACCACCACCACCACCACCTTCAACGTGAGACAGTTGAAGTTGTTGTGAATTGTTGTTGTTGTGAATTGTTGTTGATTGTTGTTGATTGTTGTTGTTGTTGACAATGATGCTGGGTGTCTCCGTCTCGCCGCCGCTCACACCACCACCACCTTCAACGTGAGACAGTTTAAGTTGTTGTGAATTGTTGTTGATGTTGTTGATTGTTGTTGACAATGATGCTGGGTGGCTCCTTCTCGCCGCCGCTCACACCACGACCACCACCACCTTCAACGTGTGACAGTTGAAGTTGTTGTGAATTATTGTTGTTGTGAATTGTTGTTGATGTTGTTGATTGTTGTTGTTGTTGACAATGATGCTGGGTGTCTCCGTCTCGCCGCCGCTCACACCACCACCACCTTCAACGTGAGACAGTTGAAGTTGTTGTGAATTATTGTTGTTGTGAATTGTTGTTGATGTTGTTGATTGTTGTTGACAATGATGCTGGGTGGCTCCGTCTCGCCGCCGCTCACACCACCACCACCTTCAACGTGAGACAGTTGAAGTTGTTGTGAATTATTGTTGTTGTGAATTGTTGTTGATTGTTGTTGATGTTGACAATGATGCTGGGTGGCTCCGTCTCCCCGCCGCTTACACCACCACCACCACCACCTTCAACGTGAGACAGTTTAAGTTGTTGTGAATTGTTGTTGATGTTGTTGATTGTTGTTGACAATGATGCTGGGTGGCTCCTTCTCGCCGCCGCTCACACCACGACCACCACCACCTTCAACGTGTGACAGTTGAAGTTGTTGTGAATTATTGTTGTTGTGAATTGTTGTTGATTGTTGTTGTTGACAATGATGCTGGGTGTCTCTGTCTTGTCTCTGCGCGTCGTCTCCTGCTCACACCACCACCACCGTCACTAGCACCACCTTCGCTACAACCACCAACCACCACCGTCACTACCACCATCGTCACTACAACCACCACCACCGTCACTACCACCACCTTCGCTACAACCACCAACATCACTACAACCACCGTCACTACAACCACCACCACCGTCACTACAACCACCACCGTCACTACAACCACCACCGTCACTACAACCACCACCACCGTCACTACAACCACCACCACCGTCACTACAACCACTGTCACCACCACTGTCACCACCACCGTCACCACCACCGTCACTAACTTACCACCAACCACAATCACGTCACTACCGCCAGTTGCATGGCTGGTGATCGTTGTGATGATTGTTGAGTTTTGTTGTTGGTGTTGATTTTTATGGTTGAGAATTGTTGTTGACAATGATGCTGGGTGGTGCCTCTATCTCACCTCTTCATGCCTCACACCACCACTAACTACCACCACCACCACCAACAACCACCAACAACCACTAACCACCACCGTCACCACCACCAACGTCACAACCGCCACCAACCACCACCAACCACCACCGTCGTCACCACCACTACCGTCACCACCAACGTCACAACCGCCACCAACCACCACCAACAACCACTAACCACCACCGTCGTCACCACCACCAACCACCACCACCAACCACCACCGTCACCACCACCACCAACCACCGTCACCACCACCACCAACCACCACCGTCACCACCACCAACCGTCACCACCACCACCAACCACCGTCACCACCACCACCAACCACCACCGTCACCACCACCAACCGTCACCACCACCACCAACCACCACCGTCACCATCACCAACCACCACCGTCACCACCAACCACCACCGTCACCACCACCAACCGTCACCACCACCACCAACCACCAACCACCACCGTCACCATCACCAACCACCACCGTCACCATCACCACCAACCACCAACCACCACCGTCACCACCACCAACCACCACCGTCACCACCAACCACCACCATCACCACCACCAACCACCACCGTCAGCACCGTCACCACCACCAACCACCACCGTCACCATCACCAACCACCACCGTCACCATCACCACCAACCACCACCACCAACCACCACCGTCACCACCACCAACCAACCACCAACCACCACCAACCACCACCGTCACCATCACCAACCACCACCGTCACCACCACCACCACCAACCACTACTGTCACCACCACCACCAACCACCGTCACCACCACCACCAACCACCACCGTGAGCGGTCACGTGAGTGGCTACGTCACCGTTTTCCCGCAGCCTTTGTTCCGCCCGCCCGCCCTGTCGCCCCTACGGCGGCTGCCGCCACCACCACCGCCGCCTCCTCCCTCCTCCTTCCTCCCTCCTCCTCCTCCTTCCTCCTCCCTTGCTTTCACGGGGGCGGGGGGGGAGGCAATCAGAGGCCGGAGAAGCCATCGCGAAGAGAGAGAGAGAGGCGAGAGAGAAAGGGGACAGCTCCCTCCCACCTCACCACCTCCTCTACCCCATCGCTGGTGGCCGCTCTTTCGCCATTGTTACTCACTACCGCTGCTATCGCTCATGGAGGGGGTGGTTTATATTATTATTGTTGTTGCTGCTGCTGTTGTTTCGGTGCGGAAAGCTGTCGCTCTCCTCTCGCGTCAATTAAATAACAGCCTCGATTAAAATCGTCCCCCACAACGCCTTAGCCCAGCGTAGAAGGCGTTCGTCTTGCGTGGAGGGAGACGATTTGGGGGGTGGGTGGGTGAGTGAGCGGGCGAGTGGCTGCCTGGCCTGGGTGGTGGGTGGCCAAATTTTGTAAAAACGTGGGAGTTGAATGCGCGACTTCTCCCGTCTACGTTTGAGATTTTGAGGTGGTAGTGGTGGTGGGGGGAGGGCTTTGTTTTATTTTGTCTGCTTTGCTGCGTTTGGAAAGGCGGAAGAATACAAATCGCTGTGACACACGAGGAGGAGGAGGACGAGGAGGAGGAGGAGGGAGCCGTTCCCAGTCCCGCTTGGGGCCGACTCGCCCCGACTCGGTAAGTCGGCGCAGAGGCCCAGGTGTGGTCGAGGCTTTAATTCGTGTTTTTAAAACATTTTTTTTGTGTGTGTGTCGCTTTAAAGCGCTGCTGTTAATGCGGCGGCGGTGGTGAGGGGGGGGTAAAAGAAGTATCGCCGGGGTTTGTAAAGTGAAGATTAATTAAGAAGCGACGTCAGTTTTATTTATTTATTAATATTCTCAACATTACTACCGCCGATTAAAAGAGGCGATGGCAGTTTTATTTAAACGTTGATACCCTCCCCACCACCACCGACAAAATATATACGCACACAAATCTGCGAGGAAAGGAGTAGGGGAATTAAAGTATAAAGCGATTATAACAGACGCACAGGAGAGAAATTAACCCCCCCCCCTCCGAACCTCGAGGTCGAGGCCTCGACCTCGCCTAGCTCCCAGTGCCCGGTCTCGCGCTCGCCCGGCGGTGGCGTTCTAGGCAAGGGGGGAGGGCGCGCGAAGTAGACGGGCCTAGGCCTTGTGTTTGACACAAAACGCCGAATATACAAAGCCCCCCTCCCCTTCCATCTATCGATAGAACGCGACCTCGCCTCCCCTCGTTTTAAAACGTTTATAGTTGTGCGTTTCGTTTGTCTCCCACGGCGCCGGGTTTTCGCCGCGGCGTTTGCTATCTGTGTCGAAGTTGTCGTTGGCTTTCGGCTGCGTTAAAGTGGCGGGATAGCTCGCCTGGATTGGGCCCAGGAGGCTTCGGCTGGCGCTGACGGCGCCTTGAGAGTGGAAAAATTTTTGTTGTTAAAATTCCACCCCAAATTTTGTTTTTTGTTATTCGATGTTTTTTTTTCTCTCTCTCCTTCCAAGACCTTAATTTGTATTAATCTACGACTTGGGGCGTCGTTCACTCTCCTCACGATTTTTGTTATTCCACCCCCTTATTCGGAGCGCGCCACTGGCTCCGATATGCCCATAATTACTCGTAATGTAGTAAATGTATAATATAGGTTGTTCTTTAGGTTAGATAAATAGTAATGTATAGTTAAAGGTTTAACCGCAACCTCCTCAACCTTACCTCACTCATGGGCCCGACATGCTAATGCATACTCGTAAACGTACGTAACTTATAATGTAGTTTTTTGTTTTTAGGTTTGATCGCGTAAATATGAATGTGTCGTTGATGCCGCCACCACCCGACTTAAACAAAACGTGCCAATTCGTTGCTAATTTGATCTCCAACACAGCGGTTGTGTTGGAGATCAAATCGACAGCATAGTACAGCAGCACATCGGTGTATTGGAGAGTAAATCCACAAACATTGTACAGCACAGCGGTGTATTGGAGAGTAATTCCACATACATTGTACAGCAGCACATCGGTGTGTTGGAGAGTAATTCCACAAACATTGTACAGCACACCGGTGTGTTGGGAGAATAATTCCACAAACATAGTACAGCACACCGGTGTATTGGGAGAGTAATTCCACAAACATTGTACATCACACCGGTGTATTGGAGAGTAAATCCACAAACATAGTACAGCACAGCGGTGTGTTGGAGAGTAATTCCACAAACATTGTACAGCAGCACATCGGTGTATTGGAGAGTAATTCCACAAACATTGTACAGCACACCGGTGTATTGGAGAGTAATTCCACAAACATTGTACAGCACACCGGTGTATTGGAGAGTAATTCCACAAACATAGTACAGCACATGGTGTATTGGAGAGTAACTCCACAAACATTGTACAGCACACCGGTGTGTTGGGAGAGTAATTCCACAAACATTGTACAGCACACCGGTGTATTGAAGAGCAATTCCACAAACATTGTACAGCAGCACATCGGTGTATTGGAGAGTAATTCCACAGTACAGCACATCGGTGTATTGGAGAGTAATTCCACAAACATTGTACAGCACACCGGTGTGTTGGAGAGTAATTCCACAAACATTGTACAGCACACCGGTGTGTTGGGAGAGTAATTCCACATAGTACAGCACACCGGTGTATTGGAGAGTAATTCCACAAACATTGTACAGCACACCGGTGTGTTGAAGAGCAAATCCACAAACATTGTACAGCAGCACATCAGTGTATTGGAGAGTAATTCCACAAACATAGTACAGCACACCGGTGTTTTGGAGAGTAATTCCACAAACATAGTACATCACAGCGGTGTGTTGGAGAGTAATTCTACAAACATAGTACAGCACACCGGTGTGTTGGGAGAGTAACTCCACAAACATTGTACAGCACAGTGTATTGGAGAGTAACTTCACAAACATAGTACAGCACAGCGGTGTGTTGGAGAGTAATTCCACAAACATAGTACAGCACACCGGTGTATTGGAGAGTAATTCTACAAACATAGTACAGCACATCGGTGATGTTGGAGAGTAATTCCACAAACATTGTACATCACAGCGGTGTGTTGGAGAGTAATTCTACAAACATTGTATAGCACACCGGTGTATTGGAGAGTAATTCCACAAACATTGTACAGCAGCACACCGGTGTGTTGGAGAGTAATTCCACAAACATTGTACAGCACACCGGTGTGTTGGGGAGTAATTCCACAAACATTGTACAGCACACCGGTGTGTTGGTAGAGTAATTCCACAAACATAGTACAGCACACCGGTGTATTGGGAGAGTAATTCCACAAACATTGTACAGCACAGCGGTGTATTGGAGAGTAACTCCACAAACATTGTACAGCACACCGGTGTGTTGGGAGAGTAATTCCACAAACATTGTACAGCACACCGGTGTATTGAAGAGCAATTCCACAAACATTGTACAGCAGCACATCGGTGTATTGGAGAGTAATTCCACAGTACAGCACATCGGTGTATTGGAGAGTAATTCCACAAACATTGTACAGCACACCGGTGTGTTGGAGAGTAATTCCACAAACATTGTACAGCACACCGGTGTGTTGGGAGAGTAATTCCACATAGTATAGCACACCGGTGTATTGGAGAGTAATTCCACAAACATTGTACAGCACACCGGTGTGTTGAAGAGCAAATCCACAAACATTGTACAGCAGCACATCAGTGTATTGGAGAGTAATTCTACAAACATTGTACAGCACACCGGTGTATTGAAGAGCAAATCCACAAACAGTACAGCACACCGGTGTGTTGGAGAGTAATTCCACAAACACTGTACAGCACAGCGGTGTATTGGGAGAGTAAATCCACAAACATTGTACAGCACACCGGTGTATTGGAGAGTAATTCCACAAACATAGTACAGCACACCGGTGTTTTGGAGAGTAATTCCACAAACATAGTACATCACAGCGGTGTGTTGGAGAGTAATTCTACAAACATAGTACAGCACACCGGTGTGTTGGGAGAGTAACTCCACAAACATTGTACAGCACAGTGTATTGGAGAGTAACTTCACAAACATAGTACAGCACAGCGGTGTGTTGGAGAGTAATTCCACAAACATAGTACAGCACACCGGTGTATTGGAGAGTAATTCTACAAACATAGTACAGCACATCGGTGATGTTGGAGAGTAATTCCACAAACATTGTACATCACAGCGGTGTGTTGGAGAGTAATTCTACAAACATTGTATAGCACACCGGTGTATTGGAGAGTAATTCCACAAACATTGTACAGCAGCACACCGGTGTGTTGGAGAGTAATTCCACAAACATTGTACAGCACACCGGTGTGTTGGGGAGTAATTCCACAAACATTGTACAGCACACCGGTGTGTTGGTAGAGTAATTCCACAAACATAGTACAGCACACCGGTGTATTGGGAGAGTAATTCCACAAACATTGTACAGCACAGCGGTGTGTTGGAGAGTAACTCCACAAACATTGTACAGCACATCAGTGTATTGGAGAGCAAAGATGATGCTAGTTGTAATTACTGACGAAATGTCGTACTCTGTAAATGTTGTGGATTTGCTTTCCAACACACCACGGTTGGTTTAACACGTAGGCTTTCGCGACCAATATTATTCATAATAAAGTTTTTTTTGGGTTAGATCGCGTTTATTTATAAATGTGTCGTAACCAAACTGAAAATGTTGTGGATTCACTCTTCAACACACCGGTGGGCTGAAGTAGTGAATTATTTGTCTTTTGTCAACGTGACACTTTTTTTGCTGATTGGCCGTGTCGGGTGGTGGAGGGTTACGACGCATTTATAAATAAACGCGATCTAACCCACAAACCTTTATTATGAACACAACGGTTGTTTTGTACTAATAACGAATTGGCACGTTCTGTTTTCGTGACAAAACCTTGCAAAATTGTCTTGTCCGGGTGGTGGTGGCGGGTTTCACGACACTTTTACATTTACGCGATCTAACCCAAAAAAAAACCTGTACTATGGATCATATACAACATCGCGTAGGCCTTCTGTACACGATAGTGGTGTAGCAGTTAGCGCTGCGCTACAAACCTGGCCCACCCGGGTTGAATTCCCGCTCACGGCCACCAACACCACCAGGTAACGATTTATCTGAACCTGTCCTGGCGCCTCCCCCGTGAGGTCCTCTCGGCCTCAAATAAGTAGCTGGTGTAGCGATGGCGGTGTGTGTAGTAAACATCCCTAATGGGTAGAGTCGAAGGCGACCGGGCGTGGTGCTGGCCACCCACCCCCTCGTGTGCCACGGTGTGCCGCTCTTCCTAGGTGCCGCTACTCGATAACAGCACTTGCCCCAAGTATGTTAGAGGCTACACGGGGGGGAGCTTTGTCTTGGTCTTTGGTGTTTACTAAATGTGCGCGTATATTGCTCTGCTGTTGTTGTTGTTGCTGCTGGTGTGTGTGTGTGTGCGCGCCACATTGTGTATTGGCAGACCGTGCCGAAGAAGGCAATAATTGACACTGCGTGTGAGTGAATTTAGATTAAATATGCTGCTGTTGCTCTCAGAGCATTTAAGATTACTCTTGTACCGCTTGCCTGCTGGAAATGCGTTTTTCCTACCGGCTCCATGGGGGGGGGGGGACGGTGCGTATCTTGTGCCCTGGGATTCTGAAACTGCAATTGTAAATACGCCACACTCACTGTCAACACGCTGAGCATACGCCTGCCGTTACCTTGCGAGGTTCCTTTTAAAATGCCGCATGCGGTTTTAGTTTGCAGTGCCAGTCGAATGTTACCGGTTTCCCCCCAAAAGAAACGTTTGCTCAGTCTTTGCAACATATGCCCGGCCCTCTGTGCACTCATGATGGACTGAAACTCATAATAAGAGTGCGCAGTATAAGATGTTCTCGCGACAAATGTTGCGCCTGCGGTGCTGCTAACAAATGCATTACAGTGGATCGGGGAGCAGTGGCGCCCCGAACCCCGATCCGGCCCGAGTTCGATTCCCGCTCACGGCCAACATCAGTGACGGATTTATCTGAACTGGTCCTGAGTAATCCCCCTCGGTCAGACTGGACATCTGTGAAAGAAGAGCTTTTTGTAGCTCGTCGGATTGCGCCAGTATGAACCAACTTTCGGATTCTGAAATGAGGTACGGTGCCAAGTGCGGTGTGTTAGTAAACATCGCCACGAGGGAGACAAAGGCGGCCGGGCGTGGTGCTGGCCACCCCCCCCCCCCGTGTGCCGTGGCGGCCTTCATAGGTGCTGCTCGCTAACAGCACTTGCCGCGGCAGTCTGTTGAAGGCTACACTGGGGATCGTTGTCTATCTCCCACAGCTATATATACACACACACACAAAACATAGATCTCTCCCCCCCCCATCCCCCATATTAGCCTTACAATGCAGGGACAAGTGCTGTTAGCGAGCACCTATTAAGGTCATAACATCACACAGGTATTACGGAGTATGGTGAGCCCCATCCTTGGCAGCATACGCGCACACCGTTTTATAGGCGTTGACGAGGTCATCATTGGTTTTACGGTAGAGAGACCCGGGGTCTGCCTGAGGGTTTGACTCTCGCTTCTCTCTGGTTTCAGCAAAGAGGACGCCGTTCGTTACCTTTTGACTTGCGGTGTTCCGTCTATGGCGTCTGCACCACGTGCGGACTCTTGACGGTGTCCAGAAACCTCGCTTGTCGCGAAAGCCGTTTTTCAGCGATAAAAGTCAGAAAATTATCCCGCTCAACAAAATGCAAAGAAGACTGCGGAGGTGCGTGCCTGGAAGGATATTGACAGACTGGATCACGTACTTTTAGCGTTTAATATTTTTACGTGACCGAGTTAAGGCCCGCCGAGCCTAGTGGCTCTTTTTCATAAGTGACCTGGCGAGCACAAATGATAGCTTAACGATGTGGCCTCTGGTGTGGAAACTTCTATCGGCCAAACACTCTGAATCCCATGTTTCTAAATGTGAAGGGGAAAAACTGGCGGACCTGGAGAAAAATCCATGCGACCACGAGGAGAGGACACCGCAAACTCCAAAATGCACAGGCAACAAACTTGGGAATGAACTCGCAATCTACTGAATTCCAGGCGAGGTAGTTAACATATCACCATCGATTAGGGAACAGATTAATCCCTTCCGATGACGTGAACGGAACGGTAGTTCATCGGAATAGAATAGGAATGAAAACTGAATTTAACTCTTTTATATTATGAGACCTCCTTTGCCAGTAACCAGATATAGAAATAGGTTTAACCTATATCTGGTTACTGGCAAAGGAGGTCTCATAATATAAATGCTCACCCCGAGCCCTCAATACTCTGATAGTGCGCTGTTTTTGAGTTGTACGCCTTTTGGCGTCTTCTGGTCCAACACCAATGGAGACTAGGCTCTAAGAAAAGCCGTCTCGGGTGTGGACCAATCAAATTCAAGGACAGTGCACATTTTTATCAGAGTTGTCTTTTTTGTTTGCGTTTTGACTGCTTGTGTTGTGGTTATTGCAGACATGATGCCTTGAATAAAGGTGTCAGTTTTTGTGCCAGTTAAAAGGGTTAAACCTATTTCTATGAATTTAACTCATTTCGTCGGTACGGAGGCTCCCACAAGGCCATGCGGGAGGGTGCTACTACCACTGCCACTACTGCTGCCACAGCTAATGCCGCTACTACTACGCCTCCCGAAATAAAACTAACGCCGAGCCGCTCGAATGCTCCGAGATTCGGCGGGTGATCGGGACACACCCCCGGGCCCATCCTGGAACTTGCATCAGACGTCAAACGTCTCGGACACGGGAGAAGGTCAAAGGCGCTCAAATAGTTGCGAGTAAACAGTAGTAAGTGGGCTCGTGCAGGATAACACGTCCACGGTCTGGAGGGACGGTGCGCCGGTGGTCGAGACTAAGCGCGGAGTGGCAGCCGAGGGAGGGAACGCGTCCCGGAGGATGTCCACCACGGAGATGGGGAGCGGGATATATCCCCCGCTCGGCAGTTTCCAGATCCCGGAACGCAGAGCGACTAATCGCTGCGCCACCGCTCCTCCGCCCCAGTTGTACGTACAATGCACGATATGGGTAGGGGTTTTCCTTGGCACGAGCGACTCTTTAACGCATTTTATCGACCGCCTTAAGGCGCTTTACGGAGAATTAACAGTGGTACAACAACGGCATGTGTGAATGTATAACGGTGGAGGTGAGGTGGACGAAATAAATGAGAGGAAGCAATGGTGGGGGGGAGGGGGGGCGGAGGGGGTGCGAATCTGTGATGATGCGTGAATTTGGTGAAAATTGAAATTGATGACGGTAAATGATGATGAATTGATTGAATGAATGGGGGTTGATGAGTGATAGCCGCGTAATGAGAATATGAAGGGGGAACAGGAATGGCGGTGGTCGTTATGAGGGGGAGATTAAGGGGAGGGTCGTGGGGTGTGCTGGGGGGGGGAGGGGTATCAAGAAGTGAGTTTTGAGTGAGCAGCGGAAAATTATTGGCCGAAGGTGACTGCTTATTAATGCGGATGGGGGAAGTTTGTTCCAGTGGAGGAGAGGGTGGATAGCGACGGCGTGGATTGAGCACAAGGAGGAGGGACCGAGAGAGAGAGAGAGACGGCAAAGCTTGAGAAAGGTTAGGCAGTGGTTCTTAACATGGGGGGGTGCATGATGCCCTTTCTGGGGGGTGGCGAGACACGGCCAGATTCTTTCTTAGAAGGTGAATCGTCGAAACACAAATGAGAAGCCACGGTCACGTAAGTTACAGCGTACTTTTGTTTAATCAAACCCTAGTGTGTGTGTGTGTGTTTGTTAACATGTGTTACATTGTTGTTAACAATTGAGAAGGAAAGGGAGTTTAGGTTAAGAACCGCTGGGTTAGGGCCTTTGGTTCTTGGTTGAGGCAAAGAGCGATACCTGTCCGGGATTATTTTTTATTTAACATCCCCCCCCGCCGCCCCGCCGCCCATCCCAAGTGGACGAGATTCGTCGCAGGAATGCCGACACCTCGGTGTGGGGTTTGGGGGGAGCGTTTCAATCGCAGCAGTGGATTGATAGTTGCCGATAATTATTGATTGATGATGATGATGATTACAATAGTTTGTTGTCCTTCCGCCCGCACCTCCGATTTAGCACGGTTGGCTACTTACGGCTGCGAAGGAAAGTTCTACATACATACTAAACTATAACTACACACACTACACTGTACTCTACTATGCATTGTACTACATGGAAAACGAATTGCTTTACAACTGCTTTTTATGTTTAGTTTGTCCTTTCCCCCCCTCTCACCTCCAACTGAGCCCACGGTTGGCTTCGTACGGTGCAAAAGAAGTCCCAACAATAGATCCATAGACCCATAGAGATGCGTTGCGGTGGCAGAAATGGCTCGGTTTGAGCGAGGGAGTGTCGCTCCCGGGCCCACGATCACCCCCGTCCCCTACGCGATTAGTGCGGCTCAAGCTGGCGGTTGTGATGGAGGACCTTAACTGCCCTCGCCCCCGGGTATACGTTACATACGTGCGCGTCACGTACGCATGCACGTTACGTACGTGATCCCTCCCTCTCCTCTCCTCCCTCCCCGACCTTCCCGCTAGTGCCCGTCCTCGCAAGGCCGACAATGGACGAATTCCAGGCGGCGGCGGCGCAGTTCCTGCCGGACGACCCGACGGCCCTGCGCGAAGCAGCACGCAACCACAACCTCTACCACATGTGGCGGGAGATCTGGGCCCGCAGCGGACGCGTCACCAAGGAGTGGAACCCCTGTGAGTACGGCGGCGACGGCGGCGGTGTGGTGGTGGTGGTGGTGTGTGTGTGTTGCGGGTGTGGGTGGGTGGTGGTGGTGTGTGTGTGTGTGTTGCGGGTGTGGGTGGGTGGTGGTGGTGTGTGTGTGTGTGTGTTGCGGGTGTGGGTGGGTGGTGGTGGTGTGTGTGTGTGTGTTGCGGGTGTGGGTGGGTGGTGGTGGTGTGTGTGTGTGTGTGTTGCGGGTGTGGGTGGGTGGTGGTGGTGTGTGTGTGTGTGTGTTGCGGGTGTGGGTGGGTGGTGGTGGTGGTGGTGTGTGTGTTGCGGGTGTGGGTGGGTGGTGGTGGTGTGTGTGTGTGTGTTGCGGGTGTGGGTGGGTGGTGGTGGTGTGTGTGTGTGTGTGTTGCGGGTGTGGGCGGGTGGTGGTGGGGTCCGGCGTAGAGCCCGCAGGTGGATTCCGTGACACCTGACGACAATGCAGGAGTTTGAACTTATTTCAGCCAGAGAGACACGGGGGGGGGTCTTCAAGGATTCCCTTCACTCCCGGACGTCCCGAACCTCCCTTGCTTCCCCCCCCCGCCCGCCCGCACTCGCACAAACCTGCGAGAACCCCCTCATCAGTGCCCTGACTTATTACAGACCAATTCAGACTTTGTTGGTCACCCAGTGCCCTTCTAAATCTCAAAACGTTCATCGGCCACAAAGTCCCATCGCCCTTCTAAATCTCAAAACGTTCATCGGCCACAAAGTCCCATCGCCCTTCTAAATCTCAAAACGTTCATCGGCCACAAAGTCCCATCGCCCTTCTAAATCTCAAAACGTTCATCGCCACAAAGTCCCATCGCAAGTGAGAAACACAGATTTTTTTTTAAAAAAAATGGACGCGTTCTTTTGCCCGTATTGAAACGGCTGTTCTCGCTGTATGGACCTGAAAACTAAATTTCCCTGTACAAAGAAAATGGGTAATAAAACCTCGTGGGTTGACACGTATGCTGATACATTCCTGAAGCTCCTTTTCCCGTAGCTTCCTTGACCTTTCCGCTTTCTCTCCAGCCCAACCACCTTCCCACATTCTCTCACGGATCCCAGCCAGCTTCGCCTGGTAGGAGGAGGGGGGGGGTTGGTTGGTTTAGTGTTTGTATTTGTATTAGTTTGGGCAATTTGTTTACCATTTACTTTGCAGTACTATCGTGTTTGTGTAACTGTTTGTTGTTGTAACGTTCTTACCCCCATGCCCCGACCTGGACATCTGTGAGTGAAAAGAGCCTTGTAGCTCATAGGATTCGTCCTGCAGTATAAATATTTTGATTCTGGATCATCCTCCGCTTTCCCGCGCTCTTTCCATTTTGAATTTCTCCCTCCAATCTCTTCAATGTCCCCTGCCCCAACAGTTTCCCCCTTTTCAGGCCCCGTTGAGTAACCAATCGGAGGGCTTGTGTTTTCCTCCCTACTCTCGGCGTCATGCACGCTGCGTCTGCAACGTTGCGGTGAGCATTCTCGCCTGTGAATGAATCATTGCAATTGGCTCTTTGGAAGCTGGATTAGAGGGCGTGCCATCATAGAACTGAAACAATCTTTTGTTATTGTTACCAGGTTAGTTAGTTATTAGTAATTTTTCAGAAGCGAACCTGGCCCCCGCAAGTGATAGCGGCCCAACAAAGTGCCTACCGTCGTCATGAACATTGCGTGGAAATTATAGCAGCAGACAAATAATCAATAAACGCATAGATTTACATAGAGACTCATAGAGATACATAGACTCATAGAGATACATAGATTCATAGAGATACATAGATCCATACAGATACATAGAGACCCCATACAGATACATAGAGACCCATACAGATACATAGATACCCCATAGAGATACATAGAGACCCATACAGATACATAGAGACCCCATAGAGATACATAGAGACCCATACAGATACATAGAGACCCCATAGAGATACATAGACTCATACAGATACATAGAGACCCCATAGAGATACATAGAGACCCATAGAGATATATAGACCCATAGAGATACATAGAGACCCATACAGATACATAGAGACCCCATAGAGATACATAGAGACCCATACAGATACATAGAGACCCCATAGAGATACATAGACCCATAGAGATACATAGAGACCCCATAGAGATACATAGAGACCCATAGAGATACATAGACCCATAGAGATACATAGACCCTTAGAGATACATAGAGACCCATAGAGATACATAGACCCATACAGATACAGAGACCCATAGAGATACATAGACCCATAGAGATACATAGACCCATAGAGATACATAGACCCATAGAGATACATAGACCCATACAGATACATAGAGACCCATAGCGATACATAGAGACCCATAGCGATACATAGACCCATACAAATACATAGACCCATAGAGATACATAGAGACCCATAGAGATACATAGACCCATAGAGATACATAGACCCATAGAGATGCATAGAGACCCATAGAGATACATAGAGACCCCATAGAGACGCACAGATGGATATAGAGATACATAGAGACCCATAGATCTACAAAGGGACCAATAGAGATACATAGAGACCCATAGAGATACATAGAGACCCATAGAGATACATAGAGACCCATAGAGATACATAGACCCATACAGATACATCGACCCATACAGATACATAGAGACCCATACAGATACATAGACCCATAGAGATACAGAGACCCATAGAGATACATAGAGACCCATAGAGATACATAGAGACCCATACAGATACATAGATACCCATACAGATAAATAGACCCATACAGATACATAGACCCGTAGAGATTCATAGAGACCCATATAGATACATAGAGACCCATAGAGATACATAGATACTCATACATATACATAGATACCCATACAGATACATAGACCCATACAGATACATAGACCCATACAGATACATAGACCCATAGAGATACATAGAGACCCATAGAGATACACAGAGACCCATAGAGATACACAGAGACCCATAGAGATACACAGAGACCCATAGAGATACACAGAGACCCATAGAGATACACAGAGACCCACAGAGATACATACAGACCCATAGATACACACAGAGACCCATAGATACACACAGAGACCCATAGAGATACACAGAGACCCATAGAGATACACAGAGACCCATAGAGATACACAGAGACCCATAGAGATACACAGAGACCCATAGAGATACACAGAGACCCATAGAGATACACAGAGACCCATAGAGATACACAGAGACCCATAGAGATACATAGACCCCCATAGAGATACATAGAGACCCATACAGATACATAGAGACCCATACAGATACATAGAGACCCATACAGATACATAGAGACCCATAGAGATACATAGAGACCCATACAGATACATAGAGACCCTATAGAGATACATAGAGACCCATACAGATACATAGACCCATAGAGATTCATAGAGACCCATATAGATACACAGAGACCCATATAGATACATAGATACTCATACATATACATAGATACCCATACATATACATAGAGACCCATAGAGATACATAGAGACCCATAGAGATACACAGAGACCCATAGAGATACACAGAGACCCATAGAGATACACAGAGACCCATAGAGATACACAGAGACCCACAGAGATACATACAGACCCATAGATACACACAGAGACCCATAGATACACACAGAGACCCATAGAGATACACAGAGACCCATAGAGATACACAGAGACCCATAGAGATACACAGAGACCCATAGAGATACACAGAGACCCATAGAGATACACAGAGACCCATAGAGATACACAGAGACCCATAGAGATACACAGAGACCCATAGAGATACACAGAGACCCATAGAGATACACAGAGACCCATAGAGATACACAGAGACCCATAGAGATACACAGAGACCCATAGAGATACACAGAGACCCATAGAGATACACATAGACCCCCATAGAGATACATAGAGACCCATACAGATACATAGAGACCCATACAGATACATAGAGACCCATACAGATACATAGAGACCCATAGAGATACATAGAGACCCATACAGATACATAGAGACCCTATAGAGATACATAGAGACCCATACAGATACATAGAGACCCCATAGTAATACATAGAGACCCATAGAGATACATAGAGACCCATAGAGATACATAGAGACCCATAGAGATACATAGAGACCCGTACAGATACATAGAGACCCCATAGTAATACATAGAGACCCATACAGATACATAGAGACCCATAGAGATACATAGAGACCCATAGAGATACATAGAGACCCATACAGATACATAGAGACCCCATAGTAATACATAGAGACCCATACAGATACATAGAGACCCATAGAGATACATAGAGACCCATAGAGATACATAGAGACCCGTACAGATACATAGAGACCCATACAGATACATAGAGATACATAGATACATAGGCCCATGGACTAAACTCAACTATGTATTTATTTACAAGGTAATGCCCTGACTTAGCTGTTCTGTAGCCCTTTTTTCAGAAGCCACACTGGCCATCACAAGTGATAGCTCAACCAAGTGGCTCATCATCATCATCACGTGGATATGTATTGCAGCAGCCACTTACTCTTGAACGTGTATTCACAGTAAGTAAACCCTTGCTAGTTCGACACATGGGGCCTCTGGCCTTGCCGAATTATCCAATATTACGAATTGTGCACAACGGTGACTCCCGCAGTGCCTCCCGCCCCAATAAAAACATCCAAATTTGATCGGCAAAAAAGTAGCGCCATCAGTAGGCAGCGCCGCAGGCGACGGAAGAGCGGGTAGGTTCCATGTGCTAGGTGCCCGAGGTTGTGGAGGGGGGGCTTAATGCACTTACTGAAACGCCAAACTGCACTCGCTTAAACTTCACATTTTTTTTTTTCCGCCTGGCGATGAATGTTTACTCAAAGACGACGGGTCTGCACGAACGCTCGCCACGTGAGCCGCCATTAATGTTTACTCAAAGACGACGGGTCTGCACGAAC